TTTTTTTATTTTTTTATTTTTTTCTTTCATAAAGGGCTTTCATTCCTACTAACTCTCCTGAGTACTGACGAAGGCCCTCAGGTCGAAATGTCAAGAAGTGTTTTGTCTATTTTAGGCAGTTGTTATACCACATTTGATGCTAAGTTATATTATTTTCATATATTCATTGAAATAGGTAGTGACTACCTATCAAGCTGGGTCTACTGAAAATCTCCAGGATTTTCATTAAAAGCAGATTAAAAGCAACTGAAGCAAGAGAGCTGTTAGATATCAGACTTAATATTTTTAAACTAGCTATTATTTTCATATTTCCCACCGTATTTTAGAAAATACGAAGGGAATTTTTCATTCATTGTTAACGATCAATTCGCAAGCTCTTCTTGTGTTTTCATCCAGTTAATTAGTTTCGCTGATGGTTGGAAAGGAGCAATTAGGTATGATCTTTCTTATTACATAATACAGTTATTAAAATACCCGTTCGCAGAGACATGATAAAAGTATAGTACGACTTACTGGTTGTTCCACCGTACGAATTTTAAGCAAAATAAAAATACTATTGTGGTTGGTTGGGTGGATGTACAATACGCACATAACGAGAAAGTAACCAATTTTGAAAAATGTGGTTGTATCCTCGGAGATTCAAAAAAGACAAATTTCTAACTAGAAACAAACTGTCAGATCATTATATTTTGATGAAACAAGAAAATTTTGCTCAGTTTGTGGGACAACTGTTGTTACTGCCATGCTACAATATTTCATGCATTGACAGGATTTTCTGCATATTAAGCTACTAAATTGGATTTGGACGCATGGTATATTAAGTAGACTAAACACTTGTGGTTTGAGTAAATGTCACTAAATGGTGGATGTTTGGAATCACGTTTGATAATAATACAGGTAATTATATATTGAGTATTATTTAATGTATCTAATTTGATGTGTATAATTCCATTCGAAATTAAGACCTTCAAACCCTGTAATATTTATATTATAGCTGTGATGATTTTCCTTAAAACGAGGAATATTGCAAAATGGCTTGTAACGTCTAAGTACTGTGTGTTTTAACTTGCACTGAGAAAGGAAATTTTCATAGAATTTTCGCAGTATGTATCCGATATTGTAAGTATAGGTGTGGCAAAGATTGGAAATGTGGAATTTCACAAATGAAAGTACTTATCGTTATGTCAATATCATATGCATGCATATGAAGCAGCAATTTTAACTACAAGGGGCTCTCTGCCAGCAGGCTGAAAATTGTAAAAGAGGGAAACATTGCGAAGAGATGATTCTTCTTCAATACACCCCTACTGTTTTGCACAATGTTCACTTTAAAAGAGCCCTGCAGGACTGCACAATTTTACTATATTTCCACATAAATGAATATATATGAATATATATAATACACCATAACTCCACAGACGAGCATGCATGACATTTGACACATTTTCACGACACTGCATGTTATGCCAGGCTCGGATCAGTTACAGGGGTCAGAATAGAGAATATACCATGTCTCACGGTTGTTTTTTGAGAAAAATAGACTAAAATTTAAAATTTTAAATTTATATGTATAATAGACAAAGAGCCGTGCCTCACTTCGCGCCGGTGTCTGACTGTATAAATGTAAAAGAAAAAATATCTTGGCATGTTATGTGGCGTGCTCAAGCCCTATGATTTATTTCGTAGTAGATTTAGATACGTACAGATTATACAATTATATATAATGCTATATTTACTATCAACTTCTATATTTATATATATATATATCTCGGAAGCATTTGCAATGGTGCATCCGCGGCAACTAGCTGTTCCTTATTCTATTAGCGTTAGTCTATATTTACAGTTAATCCTATAATAATCAATTATCCGATGTCCGTTACACCATCCTCTTATCCAGCATTATCCGATATCCGTTACACCCTTCTTGTCTCGAGGACGATGTCGCCTGTTTTATAAGTCAAATGAGTTTATTAGTTTTGAGTTGTAAGTCAATAAGATATGGGCTCGTATGCTAATAAAGAAAGAGTCCTTTCATTTTTCGTCTGGTTAGGAGTATTCGTCGATAATCCAGTCTTAATACTTTAGAATTTCAAGCGGTTGTATATATGCATGTGTTCCTATGTACAGAGTGGGACAATACCACCGAAGTAAAGTCCGCCGCACACAAGAGCTATCAGTTGAGCTAACGACCTCACGGGACAGTTAGCTGATAACTCAGCCCAAAAACCATTCGCACACGGGAGAAACTTGCCGCTCGAGGCGATTTCCTCATGAAACACATCCGCACACGAGAGTAACTTGCTGGGCTAACATGCAGCCCCACGAGGTCTTAAAACTCAAATGTTCAAAATTTTTAAATTTTCAATTGAAAATTTTGAAAATTTCCTAACGTTTGTTTTATCTCAGTTGTCATAAATGTCCCCTAAATAACTGCTTAATAAGGCAATTTGAAAATTAAAATCAAAATTGTGGTAGGAAGGTTAGAAATTATCCTAATTAGAAGCCTTCGCAGACATACACTGGCACTGGTAGAAATGCAGGAAATTTTTTTAACTCATAACTCATTGACTCTGTTCAACTGAGTTCAATGAGTTATATATTGTATATATAATGCTATATTTATTATCAACTTCTATATTTATAAAATCTCGGAAACACTTGCAATGGTGCATCCGCGGCAACTAACTGTTCCTTATTCTATTAGTGTTAGTCTATATTTACATTTAATCCTAAAAATCAATTATTCGATGTCCGTTACACCATCCTCTTACCATTTTCCGATATCCATTACACCCTTCTCGGCTCTTAAAACTCAAATGTTCAAAATTTTTAAATTTTCAAGTGATGTCTAAGTCTAGCAGGTCGAGCACAACAGGAATTAAGTTATCAGTATCAACAGGAAGTTTACTTCGTGGGATAAAAAACCACTCCCCGACCTGGTTATATAAGGGGAGAACTTAAGAACTGCTAAGCTAAGCACAATAATTCGATGCTGGTTTGAAGCAACATTGTATGCATGAACATGCAGTTGCTAAACGGAAACCATTAGAAGAACAAGGTAGAAAAAACAGCAACTTGTCTCACAATTAAATGTAAGTATTTTATTTGGTTACTTTATTAGCTAATATGAATAAGCACTGAACGAAGTGATAATATACAAGACATAAATTACCTGTAACACATGTGTCAAATTATTTTACTTTTTCACCAATTGTGTTTTAGCGAGGTTTTACTTGTCAATGGCAATGAATTCTATATCATCGTATGGAGAAGCAGCATACGGAAGTTCCAGGAGATATATTTCAGCGATGTACTTCAGAAAGCTGTGAGTGCGGAGGTAAACTGTTTCATTGCCCACTATGTACTCCAACGAAAATCAAAGGATTGAAACGATGCAAGTTGCTTAAACATTTTCATGCTATTCACTGGAAAACAAGAATCTCTTTTGACAGTAAGTTGTATAGTCATTTTTTACAAGTCATATAGATACACGGGCAGCAAAAGGATGTGGAATGACCATCTCAGGATAATTTCAGTATAGACTACATATAGTTCATTCCATGCATGCATGCAAGAGTTGTTCGTGCAATTACTTGATACAACGAAGGCCGAAATGTTTGTGCATGGAAGTTAATGAATTTTTTACTTCACCTAATTATAGCAAATTTTATGTCATTGAGGACGTCACTTCATAATGCACTTGGCTATAAATATGTAGCTCATACTTTTAAGTTCTGGTTAATTTTAGAATGGACTGTTTCAAGATCATGTTTCTTTTACCTATTTTAGAATTTGTCATTTTAAGATGTCGGCTTGAATGCATTTCCTCAGACGGAAGCATGTAACAATGTTTCGCATTTTCACTGTTGCTCCTGTGATAGAAATTTTCGAGCGAACGGACTCGTTTACTAATCATTTGTATTCCCACAAGAGGCAAACTCTTGCTCGCGACGAATCACTTACAGGACAGTCGCAAACATCTGACTTACAGGATCGTGAATCGCGCACGAGTTCAAGCGACATTAATAACCAGCAAGATACTTTAGAGTGCGAGTCGTGTTTGAAATGTTTTTCATCCAAAAAATCACTTCGGAACCACATAAAATACATTCATGTCACACCCGATTACATAAATGCTAACAGACATCTTTACGGAGTTTGCGTTGATTCGCGCAAGGGACTGTATTTGGTAAGACGCTCATTTAGTGGCACTAGTCATCCTATTCATGTTCTTCACAGCTTTGGAAGCGAAGGTGGATTCTCATGCGAATTAGACGAATGTAGGGAGGTTTCTAAACAGCGAGAAGAAGCGGGAATCCAAATTTTACTTGCTGTCATTTGAAAAGCGTGCCGTACATTTCGGAACCATTCAAACGGCCACCTAAAATTACACGAAGAGCACTCGAAGAACTAATTGTTAAAATGAAGTGGCTTAAACAAAGCAGAGAACAAGAATGCCTTCAAGCACAAATGGTAGCAGAAAGTGCAAGCGGGCCGCTGATTGTCCAGTTTTGCAACAAAAACGAAACTTCAAACAGATTTCGCCACTTCTCAGTATATGTAGGAGAAGTACACCATTATTCCCGATTTAAAAGAGTGGTAGTGTTGTTTGATATTACTTTAAATAAATGGTCTTGCGGTTGCTGCCGTTTGAAGGTCACCTGCGTCCATAAAGCTATCGGAAAGTGGTATCTATATCAGGTGAGACCAGATGATTTGTCCAATGACAGTACACCACAACAGAAACCGCGGCAATAAACGACTACGGAAACGATGTCAGTGAAAGTGAATCGGTAGATAATCCAGCCGAAGAAGAGACTCGTTTTGTAAACGTTGGAGAGTACCCCCCAAACGATTTACAGCTAACCAGAATGGTAGAATACATATATTCAGCGAAGAGAATTCCGCCATCTCTACCACGATCATTGACACATGATGCTGATGTTCTGTCCTTTCCACGTGTTCTGGTACCAACAGAAGAAACGTGCTGCAATTGCAAAGGTATTGCCCTTAGCAAAGAGAAATTGATTACACGGAAAGGAAAGATATTTACTTTAACCAAAGTTATTGAAGGTAAGTTTGTGCTAATGCACCCAGAGCTTTCGATAACACATCACGCTCAATATTTATAATTATGCAGTCAGCTATGTTAATATGGCATTCAAATTGAAAAGGGTATTATTTCATGGTTACGGAATTTCTTTCAAAATGCAAAAATAAACAAAACATGTTATATTTTTCAGATGTTGAACTATGTTACAAATCATGTCCACAATGTGGACTGATATACCGATATCAGGAGTATACGGATGGGCTTCATAACTTTGACGATTACCATTGCTTTAGTCTAAGCTTCCTGTTGCTGTTACGAGCATTTGTCGAGGTAAGCTGGTAGAGAAGCCAAAAATTAGTGACTCCTGCACCTGCAGGACTCGACTGATAAAGTTATATTTAAATTATTGCAGGAGCATACAGCATTAGGAAGAGTCGCATCAGCAGTTAGTAGCACTGCCGGAGTGAAACTTAATCAAACCGTTGTGCGAAATGCTTACTATCACTTCGAAGCTCTTACTGAACACATATACGATTTTACATGTGTGCTCTGCGGAAATCACCCTCCACATCTAAACTGGGATCTCTGCAAGAAAGGGTGTTTCTCAATCGCACGTAAGTGCACCGTCTTGTTCTCTATATATATACATATATTAAGGCCTAAATACGTTATATATTTTTTACCAAAAAATAGTTAGCGATCTAGATATTCCACCTGAATGTGACGACTCAGACCGTGTAAGCATTAGAGAGTTCTGGAAAAGTGTTGAAGTGATGCATTTAGCAAGAGGTGTAAACGGTAAGTATATATAGACCTAGTTACATCTATATCCGCACGTAATACAAAAATATACTAAATTTGTCAACTTCGCCTGGCTAAAACCTAATAAAACTTTTATACTAATTTAAAACTTTAATTCACACCCAAAATATAGCGAACAAGAGTTCCTCATTTCAAGTGAAGGCCAACTACCAGTTCTGGGCTCCATGGATTGGTCCGCACACAAGAAAAGGGGACAGTGCATATAACACAGAGTACAGAAAGTGTCATAGAATCCCAGAAAGTGACCAGTTGCTTGAGGATATGAATTTAACAACATATTCTGAAGAGGATCTACTGGACATGATGAATTTTGCGCAGGTATATATTAAAAAACATGAGTTCATACAAATCTCTAAACCAAGCATGCTTGCATGCATTAACGAAGTCTCAGGTTCAGTTATCGCAGATGCAATCTCAAAATTGGCTAAAACTGTCATAACTGTCCCCACAATGATTATTTGAATTAAAAATACGATTCTCAACAAATGTCTCACATAACAAACACTTCACACGATAATATTTGCATTTTTCTAATTTTGCAAAAGCTTTTTGACATGCATGTATGTTGAACCCATGCATGAATTTAATGTTACTATATCAACATCAATGTTTTTTTCTATATAATAGGTCCATGTGTTGCAGAGTTTGTGTGGTCAGCTGGGAGCGAAAGGCAGTTCACATCTACCAAAAACGACGCTATATCATTCCTGAGAAAGAAGTTGAATATACCAACACACTACAAAAAGATATTTACAAAGATATGGGGAGCGTCGGGTAAGTGTTTTAATAGTTTTATACGTTTACATGCAGAATTGTAAAGCGACGATTTGACTGATTTGTATGATTTTCCTGCTTGTTATCTTTTTAGGTGGATGGGCGTCAGGCTCTTGTCCGCACAACAGAATTTATGCGATCAAGTTCGTCCTCAGAAGCGAGGGACCGCGGGATTATTCAGACCTTCTTCGATCTTTTAAGTATCCACCTACATTCAACGTATCTGACATCCCACAAAGACTTGCCCACCTGATGAATTGACTTGAGCCAGGTTTTTTCAATCCAAACGAAGGAAAACCCTTTCCTTCATTGGACGAAAATATCCGACTGGCGACAGATGGCAAACTGAAAAAACACTTTCCATGGTGGACATGTTCAGCACTTACCAATGCCAACGCTGGTTCAGGCATTTGGCCAAAGCCTGTAGATCAAACATCAAGCCAGCACTAAAATATATTTTACAGAACTGTACAAGTTGCACTATGAACTTCAGTGCATCCACTCTACCCAACAAAGATTAAGATTAAGGGTATATTCTACTGATTCCAGGATCATTATGTATTGTAATATTCAACATTCTTGGTTTCCTGAAGTATGCAAAATCTTTGGTTAATTCTATTTATGTATTATATTTTACATGATCAGGTTAATCTTTGTTGGGTAAAGTGGCATTCAATTAATTTGTTAATTTTGCACAATGCAATGGAATATCAATAAGCATTTGAAATTAAATCCTTTCATACATATAACATGTTTTGTTTGCATTGCCCACTCTTCAAAAAGAGCTTTTTGTGTAAAAATTTAATGCATTTGATTAAAATATATGCATTAATTCTTGTTACAAATGTCAGCATTATATATAATGAGGCCAGAATACCATAGTGTATAATTTCTTTGAGCATTTCAATTTTCACTTACTGTTTAAAAGAATCAATGAGTTGAAAGTAATTCATGTCCCCAAACTATGCATTAAGCTTTTGTGATGTTAATTGAATTGTGCAATATTAGTTGATTAATTAAATAACATGAATTCAAAAATTATTTAGACAAAATTGTTTATAAAATGTTAATAAATTATTAATAATGCCAATATATATTGTTATATGCTCGTTTTAATATACACATTGTTGAAATAAATATTGAAATAACTCTTTTGCATATAAGTATTTTGTGATTCCTCACCTTTAAAACATGAAAATGCACCGAGTAGTTGAAGCATTATTAAAATTGTAGTCATCAGAGATTGGATCTAAAAAAAAGCATTAAAATTACTTTCCATATACAATTTTAAATTTGTTTTTGCAAAATGTCGATTCTTGTAAACATTTTTCCTGCCAACTGCTTTATACAGTATCCTGTTAGTACAGTTACAGATATATGGTTCTCTATTAATTTACATCTGTATATAAATGCAAAAACTACAACTCTATCGCTGAAACAAAGCACATATTATTAAGCCCAAATAATTTAGTAGCTCGTATTTTTGACCTGGATAGCTTATTGACAGGAAAGGTAGAGTTAATTCTGAGGGATCAGGGATGCAATTCAAATCCCAAGAGACGATATTTTGAAAAAAAAATTAATACCTGAGCTTGAGTCAGTTCATCTGCAATCGGATTGAAAAAATATACCGCTTTTTGTCACTTTTTTCACGCCTTTCTTTCGCTTTCGTTATTGACATTCAACAGCAGACAAATAACGTGTTAAAGCTCGTAGTAGATAGCATATTTCTCAAATATTGACGAGATGTGTGGTGTGCAAATGTGCAAGAGACAAAAGATCGTTTTCCGAATTTCCGTTCTTTAATTATTCTTATAAAATTTCAAAATCCAGGGGGGAGAATGCTGCTGTAGTGGGCGCAGAATTGAGCCTGGTCAGTGGTAACTACCATGGCCAAAAGGAACCATGTGGCATCAGCAGAGCTTCTGCGGTTGCGCAGAAGGGCAAAGTCCGCCATGTTTTTGGCGACAAAAAGATGGCGACGAAGTTACCGAAAAATGACAAGCCGGTCCTCCAGGAATTATTATATAGCTCAGTGGCGCTTATATTCCAAGCCGCAGACGTCTATACATAACACTGAAGGGTAACGTAAAAAAAGCGCCTGGGTATGAGACTGGCGCAAACTGAAAATAAGAATAATAAAATGAGAAAAAGTGCTTACTATTTCAGTGAAATATCTTTTCTCCTGGTTACAAATTATACAAACAGGTGGTAAAATTGCCTGATTCCAAGATTTGACTGAGTTCGTTTTTGTTGAAGATCTTAAATTTTTTTGTGCAGGAACGTCCTCGTCATTTTCATCCTCTTGGCGTTTCGAACACCTGGCTTGAGCACGCTTTATATAGATAATGTTTGTAAATTTTGCGTAGCAGTTACGGTGGTAATACAACCCCTCAATCGACATCTCTTCGGTGCTCTGGATACCTTTTAATGTACTTTTTGACTTCGCAGCAATTTCTTGTTCTTCACCATCCAGTGTCAGCCAAAGTTCATTGCTTGCCAAAACCTTATTAAAGGATGTCTCAGTAAACTGCGTTAGCGATCCCATTTCTTCACCTTTAAAATGAATTAAGCATTGGCATTGCCCAGGCGCATCAGGCGTTTTCTTTGCCATTGTTTGACGATGCAGCAGGTAATCTTACGCAATGTCTTCACCACTTTGTCACATTTATCAAAAAATAGATATTATGATAAAAAGTCATTGCTTTATCGGTTTTCCTTCCAAAACTGTGATTTCAATTGCTTTTTTTTTAAAAAAGGCACGAAACTTCAAGCACGAGTAGTCATGTAGAGGGACTGAAACTAGCGTAATAGTTTAATCATGAAGTAATCAGGAGAAAAATGGTGGATACGTGAATTTCAAAGAGCAAAATTTCTTGAAGTTTGGTCACGAAATACTAAAAAACTGCAGGTAAATACCCGTGACAACAACTGAAATTAAATTCAGTGTACAAAAATCTATAGTATTTCGTAAATTAGAATTAGTGCCTGAGGTTGGACAACAATTTTTTTTTTGAGCGACATTCTAAGGCTCAGAATACAGCCTAACATAACTGGTCAGCCCAGGTTGGGATTAGGAAGGGATTAGGAAGGGATTAGGCTCTGGCCGTATGAGCAGGTTTCCCACATTTAAAACATATTTTCCGTACAAAATATATACAATGTATTAATGTTTTACTCTGTTAGATACAGAATAGGATTTATTAATGTAATAAATCAATGCAATAGACATTAATCTTTTTTTAATAGTCTATATTATTAACACAATATGTAATTGGTATGAACTGGTTTATAACAATGGCGTTATAGTGGGTTAACCTACTTTTTCCATTTCTGTTGTGTGCTGAAATGAATAAAATATTCGGATATTTTTTACTAATAATAACACATATAATATTAGTCGAGGCTATCCCCTGACCCCCAATGCTCATATGCTCTCTGATAACAAATAACCTTGAAGGCACATACAATTTTTGCAGTTTGCTGCTCTGTGGCCCCTTTCCTTGCAATTATAGCATACTAAATATAGTTTTACTTCTGATAATTTGTAGGGTTTGGCATAAAAATAGAAAACCTTTACTACCATGGAAGGGTCTTCCAGATCTTGTATTGTTCTCTATTTGAAAGGAAACATGTTCTTATCATATAAAGCTGTATCATTGAAAGCTGTTTCCAAGCTTTCAATTATTGCCTGACTATTACTCATAGGAAAGGTAGCATGTCTTTGCATGTTTCAAAGCCATTCATACATGTCTAGCAAAAGCTTGGAAGACAAATGCAGACATGCACTAGTTAATATGATTGATATCAATGAAAAACAGATAAAATACATATATTATGGGAACTTGTTTT